TATAAAGTTCTCATTAGAATATGTTATGATTAAAAATAAACATTTTTTGTTCGCTCGAAACAAAATTACATAAATACTAAAGGGAAATTGTGTACACTTAATAGAGTGTAGTCAAGTTTCAAGTGTAAAACTAGAATCCTTGTAGAAATAGAATCTGGCCAAAAAAAAATTGTTTTCAACAGAGTAATGGAATATACATTATACAACTCACAACGGCATAATTCTAGCTAAACTGACATGAATAACCCAGCCTTTATTTAGTTTTGTTTTAGTCATGCCGTTACTAAACACAGGAGAGATAGTGTATTTTGAATATGTCGACTCTAAAATGCCACATGTTCCTAATTATACCACTGTTAGCGCTGCAAATACGAATAATGTTGGTCTCTATACAACTTTAGTTAACCCACAGTTTGTCTGTATACCACTTTAGTTAAACCACAGTTCAACACGTGGGTCATTTAAATACATAACACAAGAAAGTAGAATATTAAAACATTTTCATTTTGTGATTACTTGCTTCTTGCATTGTTTTCTTTGAAGTATTATTTCTTGTTTTACACCCCCACCCAACGCACACACACACACACATAATTATGAAATAATTATAGAAACATCAGTGATACACACACATATAAAAGGCACAGGCAACGAGTAATGATGGTGAATTTATTAATTAAAAATATATTACCGTAGAATACTAAAGAAACGCACTAGTATTTTGCACACAAAACGTTACACTTGCTTTTCATGACGTCACACAGTTTATCAATGTGGATTTGTTGAATATTGTTCCAAATATTTTATATAATTTCTCACGATTCAGTTATTTTGTCACATTTTAGTTTTCTCGTTTTTTCTTTTTCTTTTTTTTTACATTTTTACACTAGCCTATATACTCTCAAGAGTGTTCATAGTAAAAGACTGTCTAGGCTACGTCACGAATGTGAATTTTTTGATTGGCCTCTTTACAAGCAAGATATAGTTACACCACATTTACTGAGATAATTGTCTTGCTGGAAGATGAATTCCCCCTGATGAGTCGTGTTCCTGTAATGGCTTGATAGATCATAATCTGCATATCCTTCACAACAGACAAGGTGCCATCAATTTTGTGTAGAACACTGAAATGCTGATATGTAGCTACAAATTTGTACTTATTCACCACCATGACTATGACACCGTTCTTCTCTGTCTGTCGTAAAACAAAACAAAAAAAAAACTGTCGTTGACTATTGCATTACAGTTTAAACTTGGCTTAATCCATAGAGAGAAAATGTCTCCAATACTTGCCTGTGGTCAAATATTCATTTCAACCTTAGCAGCAATTTTTGAGCAACTATATGTGCGTGTTATTGTTTATCTTATTGTTTGTGATGTATTTAGAGCAATGCCATTAGCCAAATCGGTACAGAGTATTTGAACATTCTTTTTCTATCTGGTCTATAGTATTTGCACTGTCATGCTATGAGACGGCTTGAATGGGTAATGAAGAAAAACTTTAATATAAGTTTAACATAACAGCAAATGTACAACGTTTCGACCTGATGATGA